CCCAGCAGCCGGAGCCTGTGCTGGGAGGCTGCCCTGATGCGCCTGCCCCGATGTCTACACCAACCTCCCAGCAGCTGGAGCCTGTGCTGGGTCTGGGCAGTGTTGAGCGACCCCACAAAGCACCCAGTGTCCTTGGCCCCCTCTTGCTGCAGCCCCCAGAAAACCTTGGCAAGGGTCTGCCCAGCGCACCCCCGGACAGGCCCCTGGGCCCTGATCTTTCTGCTCCTGGTACCCTTGCTGGGGCAGCCCTACCCCCACTGGAGCCCCCAGCCCCCTGTCTGTGCCAGGACCTCCAGAAAGACTCCGTGGAAGAAGAGGAGCCCCCAGGCTCTCTGGGCCTCCCAATGCCCCAGGCAGGAGCCCAGCCTGCCGCTGCTGCTGTCTCAGGAACCACACAGCCTCTGGGGACTGGGCCGCGAGTCAGCCTCTTGCCTCACTCCCCGCTCCTCAGCCCCAAGGTGGCCTCCATGGATGCCAAAGACCTGGCCTTGCAGATCTCGCCGCCTTGCCAAGTGCCTCCTCCCTCTGGGCCCCAGAGCCCAGCTGGCCCTCAAGGGCTCTCGGCCCCCGAGCAGCAAGAGGACGAGGACAGCCTGGAGGAAGGTAAGGGGGAGGGTAGGATTGAAGTGCCCTGGGGCTTGGGTCAACTGGACTCTTCCTTAGAGCTGTCCCGGGCTGGAGGGCCCCTGAGGTGGTGGGGTGGGGGGCCCAGACCCCACAGCCACCATGGGGAGCTGGCACTGCTTCCTCTGGCCCTGATGTGGCAGCAGGGCCAGGGTCCTGAATCCCCTTCCCCACCACCTAGAAGCAAAAGGCCATCCTCACACCTCTCCCCTTCCCCAGACTCGCCTCGGGCCCTGGGCTCGGGTCAGCATTCGGATAGCCACGGGGAGTCGTCAGCCGAGCTGGACGAGCAGGACATCTTGGCTCCTCAGACCGCGCAGTGTCCAGCCCAGGTGCCCAGTCCAGGGAAGAGGGTGGGCCTCTGGGAGGGCCCCACATCCCACCCACGGATGCTCAGCCCTCACCTTTTCCCAGGCCCCAGCAGGCAGCAGTGAGGAGACCATCGCCAAAGCCAAGCAGAGTCGCAGTGAGAAGAAGGCCCGAAAGGTGGGCTAGTGGTTTCCCCTGGGACCTCAGGCCTGGGACCATCTGTGTGGGGAACATCCTTACCAAGACCCTCACACTCCATGGCTAATGAAATCCCATCCATCGGGGGCCTTTGGATCCATGTCAGTAACCCACACACCTTCCCCTAAACAGCTGAGGCTGGAATGTCATGAGAGGGCCCTTGTAGACTGAGGCTCATGGGGAGGGACCAACCACCAGCCCAAGGTCTTGGGGAAGTTGGCGGTGGAGACTTTGCCTTCCTGGGCACTGTGCTGCTCTCCTCCCCCGACGTGGGTCAACACCAGGTCTGAGCCCCCTCTGCCCTCTACTCCCAGGCAATGTCAAAGCTGGGCTTGCGGCAGATTCAGGGAGTCACCAGGATCACCATCCAGAAGTCCAAGAACATCCTCTTTGTCATCGCCAAGCCTGATGTCTTCAAGAGCCCAGCCTCAGACACTTATGTGGTCTTTGGCGAGGCCAAGGTCTGGGTGGAGGCTGTGGTGGACTGGGGGGTCCGAGGGACGGGGGACAAGGAGGGGGTCACAGGCTCTACTGACACAGCCGTCTTCCGTGTTGCAGATTGAGGACCTGTCCCAGCAAGTGCACAAAGCTGCAGCTGAGAAGTTTAAGGTGCCCTCAGAGCCCTCGGCCTTGGTCCCTGAGTCAGCACCCAGGCCCCGGGTGAGGCTGGAGTGCAAGGAAGAGGAAGAGGAGGAGGAGGAAGAGGTGAGGTGCAGAGGCTCCAGGACCTCTTGGGGGTTGTGGGAGGCGTTACACAGGGGCTCTGCCCCAGGGACCTCAAGCAGCTCCAGCCACTTCCCTGCTCTCCCAACCCTAGGTGGACGAGGCGGGGCTGGAACTGCGTGACATTGAGCTGGTGATGGCGCAGGCCAATGTGTCCAGGGCCAAGGCCGTGCGGGCTCTGAGAGACAACCACAGTGACATTGTCAACGCCATCATGGTGAGCACTGGCCCCTTTCCCTGCCCCCGAGCTGTCCCCAAGGGCCTCGAGGGGTCCTGATGTTGGCTCTATTGGGGGACGCTGCCCCCAACATGCCTGTCTCTTTCTGCAGGAACTGACCATGTAGCCGCTGACCGGAAGCTGGAGCCATCCTACGCCTTCCCTCAGCTCTGCTACTCAATAAATCGGTGTCCCTCCATTGCCCTCTGGTGTCTCCTCGCCCTCTGGAGTCCCATCATCACCATCTGGCATCCCTTCACTTCCCTCTGGTGTCCCTTCACCACCCTCTGATGTCCCCTCATTGCCCTCTGGTGTCCCCCACTTCCTTCTAGTGTCTCCTCACCACCTTCTGGTGTCCCTTCACTACTCTCTGGTGTCCACTCACCACCCTCTGATGTCCCTTCACTGCCCTCTGGTGTCCCCTCATTCCTCTCTGGTGTCCACTCACCGCCCTCTGGTGTCCCCTCACGGCCCTCTGATGTCCCCTCATTACTCTTGGTGTCCCCTCATCACCCTCTGGTGTCCCCTCATCACCCTCTGGTGTCCCCTTAATACTCTCTGGTGTCCCCTCACTGCCCTCTGATGTCCCATTACTCTCTGGTGTCCCCTCATCGCCCTCTGGTGTCCCCTCATCACTCTCTGGTGTCACCTCATCACTCTCTGGTGTCCCCTCAATACTCTGTGGTGTCCCTTCCTTGCCCTCTGGTGTCCCCTCATTACTCTCTGGTGTCCATTCACCACCCTCTGGTGTCCCCTCATCACCTTCTGGTGTCCCCTCACT